ATTTTATTTTATTTTATTTTATTTTATTTTATTTTATTTTATTTTATTTTATTTCATTTTATATTTCTATAAAAACTTTTTGTTGCATTTACTTTCTCTTAAGCTCGTGAAATTGGACTTATTAAATGCAAATGCGTAAAAACGTTTATATCTTCAAATACAAACACGCTTCACAAGGATTATTCGGATAGACAAGCGTATGAAGTGCAAAAGTACTACAGGAAATAGGGAAATTACCAAAAGAGAAGAAGGAGGGAGAAAACATAGAGAATGCTAAAATTATGGGCGGGAGGTGAGGATAACGTGGAAGAAAGGCAGATGTCTGTTACTGTTATAATTGTTGCTCTTAACTGTTGTTATTGTCACTTAAGCTGTTGTCTGCTTCCTTAACAACAATGAAATACTAATATAACGCATTTTGTTTTTTCTTATATGCACGCACATACAAACACATTGCTATCCAAGCGCGTACTTATGTTTTTTTTTATCGCACATTAACTTTTATTTTTAAGATAGTATTTGTACTTTACTGTTATTACATAAACTATAAATTGTTATGACACGCATGTTAATATATGTACATATACATACATATATATTTCACGATAATACATACACACTTTAATCCGTATGTGTGTATATTAATGCGTATTAAATATGTAATTTTTTTGTAAGTCGAAGAGTAGTAGAGTACACAAGAGAGGAGAAAAGTAAATTCCATGCGAGCTCACGGAAGAAAAATAATAATTTCATACGCAGAAAAGTTAATAATAAATGTCATAAAAAAGTTTAAGTGCCTACTCTAGCGCTGGAAATATCTGCATGAGAAAGCAAACGAGTGAATGTTGACAAGCACATAAATATATTACAGCTGGCAAATGAAACTCTTGATGCAAAGTAGGTGAGAGGGTGCTCAAGAGATTGCCATGTTCATATACATATGTGTATACATACACACACGTATGTAGTGCATCTCTCCAATTTATGTCATATTTCCTTCTTCGCTGGGGTGGAGTGCGAAAAATATACTGTATTTCAGATTTTAAAGTGTGGCGTGCGCCTAGAACGGACCAGGGAAAAGTGCTTGTTTTCACCTTTTTAAACGTTTTCATTGAATCGCGGAGCTGCCTAGAGACGTTTCGGTTCTAAGATTACAACACTCTCATATAAGCTAAATTTGTTCTATACGCGAGTCATACCAGGATAACTCACTCTGGCTTAACTCAGCCTAACATTACTTAATTTTGTAAGTATGTATGTAGAACCTAACCTAACCGTAAGAAAAGCTGTTAAGAGATAAATAAAACGCAGCTGAAATTCAATATTGAATCATTATGACTTTTGCTAATTAAATTGGGTTGACGAACGAAGGTAGTAAGTGAGGCGTATTTCGAAAAAAAAAAAATAACTTCGCCATAATACCTCTACCGCAAGAAGAAGACAATGTACTCAGCGGTGATTAGGTCCGCTTTCCATCGCAGAAGATTTCGATAAGCTGTTTTCACTCATTTCACAAAAAAAAATATTGTAAGTCGATGAGGATCTGCTGCTCCTAGCCAAGCAACCGACTTTAAGATGACGAGCAGAAACGATCTGAAAAAATAAGTAAAGCTTTCTTGTGACATACAAAGGCTAAGTATGATGATGCTCCCAAGAGAGAGCGGAAGTTCTTTTTCTGAGTTGCTAAGCGAAGTTTATGGATCTGATTTGTGAAAAAATAAACAGTTGAGGTGAAATGTCTTTAAATCTGCGGCATAACGGAATTTTAAGCACATTAAAAAAAATAAAATAAATGAAAAATAATTAAAAGCTTTTACGTAAATTAAAGTGGCGTAAAATAAATTGTTGTTGTTTTTCGATTGCAATTTACGAGAGTGGCACATCGTAAAAACCTCAGCTTGGCTGTGGGCGCTTTTATATACGCCAAAAATACAACTTTTTTCTCTCATTCATATAAGTTTTCAGTTTTATTAACCCAGTGGCGAAAGTTTTCGCACTGAGTGGTAGAACAGCAAAGCCGCGCGACGACTCAATTTAATGCAACATAAATAAATCTTCATTCACGAACAATTCCCAAACAAGCACACACTTGCACATGCACACCAGCACATTAAGGCTATTCAAAAATAAAACTTATAAAAAAAAAAAAAATAATAAAAAATAAAAATTAAACTAAAGCAGAGAAGTGTCGAAAATTAAACGAAAATAGAATGCACACACACACACACACACACACACACGCACGTATGCATATAAGAAAAAAATGTCATCTACTTCCTCTTGCCGTAAATACATACATACATTATGTACATTCGCACATACAGCACATTCATATAAACACACACACACACACATTTTTTTTGCAGATAAATAAATGTATGAATGAACAAGTCACCCTTTACTCAGTGCTCTCTATGAGATTCGAAATTTGTTGCAGTTTAAAAATTATGCTACTCTTCCTTTTAATGGCTTACGTAATAACAGTAATTTTTTTTATTTCATACATACATATAATATATATACGTTTTGTTTTTGTTTTTGTTTTTGTTTTTATTGCTTACTACAAGTATTTGCATGGAATCAACAGTAAAATTTTGTGTGGGCCACCGCATTCCTGACCTCCACGTCGCTTCGGTGTCGTCTCTGCGAACTTTATGCGCTGTCGGTCTCCAGCGAGCGGTTTAATTTGCATAAATGCGATTTCATAAAGAAAATCCATTGATTATGATTTATATGTAGATTTGTGCAAAGACGTTGGTCGCACATACTTTTTTTTTACAAGTTTTGAAGGAACTTTTTGCTTTATTATGATGAGTACGCTTGGCACATTTAATTTAGTGACTAATTCTATTTGAGCGGGCTCTTTGGGTTAATTCAATGAATACGCTTGACATCTTTTTCCTGTGTCTAATTGAGTTAAACTATAGATGGCAGATGGAGAGAAATATTTAGCCGGACTGAATAAAATGAAAAAATGCTTCTTGGACATCTGGACAGTTTTCTTTTCCATCTTATAAACACATATACGTATGTACATAAAAAATAAACGTAATTGAGAATTGAACATAAAAATAAAACCATTCCAATCCTAATTTATTGTTTTCCATTCCTTTTCATTAATAACGATAACTGTGTCCCTCGCTTTGGTTCAAAAGCTTTTCTTCCAAAAGAAAAATAAAAAGAAAAAAAAAGGTACAACAAATTTCAAATTTATTTGCCCACTGGGAAATGTAGCAAAGAGAGAACGGAGAGCTGAAAATTTTGTTTGCACATTATTGAGCAGCACGAGATTTTTGGCAACGACGTCTCGCAGCAGTTTGAGCTTTTCGAGCATTTTCATATGTATTTTGAGTGAAAAGACCTCGAAGTTTTATATCTTTTTCGACACCTCATTCATACGTATTTTTGTATATTTGAACCGATGCAAAGTTTTGAGCCATGAAAAGTTCAGAAAATTTTTGAGAAAATAAAACTAAACTGCTATTAGAAGCTTTCAAGCTAATATGTAAGAAGTTGTGTAAAGAACGCTGATGGAACTTCAAAACATATTCTAATAATTTTTAGTTTTTACTTTTCTGTGAGAGGTCTGCAGTTTTTCACAGCACAGCTTATTGTCTTTTTTGTAGTCCGCTAGATGGCACTAAAGTCGTTATTTATAGGAAATATTCAATTTTGAACCGATTGTAATGATATTAAAGAAAAAAATCGATCGGTCTCGATGACGCTGCTAATGAGTTATTCAAACGATTCGTATTTATGATCACTTGATGAACAGCTAGTGGAAGATGAGCTGCACAAATATTGCGGTCGACCGACCGAGGATAAGCTTCCTCATATAAGAATTTTCCTATGGTTTTGTGTGAACGATTAAATCTCACTGTCAACGAACTGATGGGACCTTTTCAATGTGATTTCACTCCCGATAAATTCATCTTTGATCAGATATTTGCCATGCACCAAATCATGGGAAAGAGAAGATCAATACACAGCACCTTTTTTGACGCTGGAGCTAGCTTTGACAGCACGAAAAAAGCCGTCTCTATGCGGCCAGGTCTGAGTTTGATGTCATCATTCCGTCAAAGTTTTAAGAGCTGCATAAAATGGTGCTTAGTATTACCAAAAGCACCGATGCATCTGAAACGAGTAAGCTCTACAATGTGAGCTGTAAAGTGCTTAGAGAAGGTAAAATCTTTTACAAGAGCATACAACTGCAGATGTATGCTGATAAAATTGACATTATTAACCTCAACAGCTGCCTCATTGCTTCTGTTTTCTCAAAACTGCACAAGAAAGTGAAGCGAGTGAGTCCGATGAGCTTTTACGGCAGCGTCGACACTTATAACTTTTTACTCATGGCTAAAATGGCTGGGATATTTCAGTGGAACCCCTTTGACACATTCAGTTAAAGAGTGCGCTGAAGTCTAATTGCGGTGTCTATTCACCGAAGGTGCCTGAAGGAGCGGGCATCGATCTTTAAATAACACTTTCCCCCTCTAAAAGTCGTGCATCATTACCTTCCTAGGTTTTCCTATTCGTGTGTATTCGTGGGACAATTTATGGACCTCTGCGTGAGGACGACGGTGAATGTTGCATCATTTATGGATTTCTGCGTGGGGACGACGGTGAATGCTGCAGATGACCAAATAATAACCTCTATGAGAAGTGCATAGACAGCGACATACTTAAGCGAAAGCAGAGGAACCGAAAGCCTAAACTACGTTAGATAAATTTGGTAGAGAAGAACCTGTCTTTAATTGGCACTTTCAACTTGTGCCGAGCGGCTACGACTTAAACTGTAATTTGTGTCTCAAATATTTGATCAAAAATGAATGCTTATGCTGATAAATGATAGCCTTACATATATCCTTCAATGTGTATCAAGATTTAATTTTTTTTACATATTGAAGCTAACGGGGCAATGGGGGAAAAACACTTCGGATGTTACCGTTGTTATGGTGTGACCACTTTGGCAGTACAACAAAATAAATGAAACGCCCCCGTGTTTAAACCTAGATTTTTATTGCGTCAATCGTTATACCGTTATTGATAAATACATTAACTTATTTCGTAAATTTCTGTTAATTACTGAGTAAATGCTAAGTGTTGTCTCTTTTTGTAATGCGAATAAATTGCGATTAAATATTTGTTGTCTCATATCTTACGGTTAAATGCGATTAAATGCGATTAAATGCGATTAAATGCGGTTAAATGCGATTAAATATTATATATGCTGTTATAGAATTGCGGTTAAATACGATGGAATATATATATATGTAATATATATTGCTAAAGACATCGAGTAATTTGTCGGTCATTTTAATTAGAATGCATAAAAACAACTGTACCCTCCGTAGAATGTTCCTTTAGATGCGATTATATAAATAATAAAGCGATTATTATCGAAACGTAAGCCAGTAAGAATAGTAAAAGTTCAAGCCAAATTGTCAATTGTCGTATGATTTCCTGTCGGCACTCCCATTGCACGCGTCGGCGCTACAAGCGCATCTTCAGCTCGTCCAGCATGCGATAGACTTTGATGAATTTTTTCTCCACCAACTCCGTAAAGGATTTGATATCGTTGCGCACGATGGCCAGCTCCAAGGCGGCCTCGGAGAGACCCTCGCCCGAGCATTTCTTCGTTGCCTTGTTACTCTCATACCAACAGGCCACACCGTCCACATAGTCGTCGACCAGTTCCGGTTCTGTGGAGTCCTCCATGAAGGAGATATCGCGTTTCTTTACAAATGAGTTCATCAGCAACTGCAAGAAATCGCAATTCCAGTTGTTTTGTTGAAAGTAAAAGTACTGCAGCGATTTCAAATCGTTGAAGAGCGGAAATTTCATGTTGTACAGCGAGTTTGCCGAGATGTCCAGCTGTTTGAGCTGCGTCTGTTTCTTGAACACATCATCGGACAGCTCGTGCATGCCGATCGCGCTCAGATTGAGCCGTTGCAGGCCAGTATAACGTCGCAACGGGTTGCCCTGCAAGGTGCCGAGTGGATTGTGCGATAGATCAAGACTGCTGACGTTCGCTGCGTGTGGTATGTGTGGCAGTTCGCGTAGTGAATTGTTGCGCAACTCCAGATCGTACACGTAACCGTAGACGGTCAACTTTCGTATGTCGCAATCGTTGACGATTGCGTTCTCCAAAACGGCAAAGTTGAGCGTCAGATCCTGCAGTACGTTGCCGGAGAGATCAAGTTGTTTGAGGCGCGGCTGCAGCTTAAACAACTCAGACTCGAAGACAACGAAGCGATTGCGCGACAAATTGATGCGTGTCAGATTGAGGTTTCGATCGAAAATGCCACGCGGAAAGGCCGCTAGTCGATTGCCACCCAAGTTGAGGTCTAACAACTTGCGCAACGGTGCGAAAACACCCAACGGTAGCTGTGCCAATTGATTGTCGGCTAGGGACAGCTCATGCAGCTCTTTGAGTGCATGGAAGCTGGCGTTATGTAGCGTGCGCAGCTGATTGTGATTCAAGTGGAGGGTGTGTAGATTGTCAGCGCCGAGAAAGATGTTCTTCGGTATGTCGCGTAGCAGATTATGACCCAGAAAAAGACTCATCAAATTGCTTGCGCCCTCGAATTGTGGCTTTTCGAAAATCTCCACAGAGCAATTCTCCATGCGCAGCACCTGCAGATCGGGAAAGGTGTCGAACATCAGATGTGGTATCTTGGCGATGCTGGAGTTGAGAAAGGTAAGCATCAGCTGCTTGGCGATGGGCATTTGCGAGAGTATGACATAGTCATTGCGTCCGATCTCGACGCCAGTGCAAATACCATCTTGGCAGTGATCCTGCATCCAAACGCGACGCAATTGCGCAGCATGACCGTTATAATGCGACGAGCGTAACGCGGCGATTGCGCAGATGATTATAAATAGAAATTTCATTATCGATTTTGGGCGCGTACTTCAATGCAAAACACTGCCGAAGCTTTGCTCACACGAGAAAAAGTTCAAAAGTTCTTAAAGCCTTACTGTCTGTTTGTGCCACCGTCCCCCCGAGTAGAAATAAGGCGTGCAATACGCCACTCCGGGGGGCCACACACACACACACACACACACACAATGGCGTTGTATATTTGGCAAGGCCTTGTCCGAGCGGCGCGTTGGCAACAACAAGTGAAAAATAGTTCCTTTTCAAAAGAATCTCTACAATTTTGTTCACAGTTCACAAATTTCAATATTATAACGGCATTTTGCAACCGCATACGCGACGCACACGCGTCAATCTCACTAAACAGACTGATTCTCGGTTATTTTGCGGCGGCGGCAACAACATGCGACCGCGACTACGCGTCGGGCTAAACTGTTGATGCTTGAAACTTTTCGACAGCCAAGTAGGCATAGTTTATTTATTTTTTGATGAATTAAAATTTTACTATTCCCATACACACACACACACACACACATACTCCGCGCTGACACAGTTGTACGGCCATCTCCCACTCACTCACGCTCTTCTACGCCTAAACAAATGGATGAGTGTCCGAAGCGACCCTTTTTATTCATATTTATTATTAATGTGACACCCCAGGGGGTCTGGAAACTAAACGTTGACTTTATTTTGCTTCACTTGTGTTGTAGCTGGTAACTTTATTGTTGCTGCTGTTGTGGTGACTAAATAATCTAATATTTATAATGTTTTCGTTTGGCATTACTCGTCTGTGTATGTCTGTTGAATTGGCTTAGGCTTGTGTGTGTGTGTGCGTGTGTGCATGTATTGGGTGTGTGTGCGTGCGTGTATGTATTGAGTCGGTGGCTTCGGTTCCGTTTTCAATTAAATATCCGCTGAGGTTTTCATTTAATTCAATTGTGGTCAAATATTTGGAATGCCTAGCGAATACAGCACTGACATTAGGCACATACATACACGTATATACCCATGTATATGCAAATTCTTGTATGTATTATGTATATAAATTTGTATGGACTAAAAAGAGTGAGTGCAAAGAGGGGATAACAGCGACAAAGGAGAGCAGAAATTAATAGAACGCAAGTAAATATATATATAAAGATATGATTATGTGTATATATGTATATATATTATTATATATAATATATATAATATGCATATGTCGATACCAATGCCTTGTAGGCATTATATTTTTGCAATGAAAATTTTTTAGACTCCGCATAGAGACTGGAGAAATACCAAAACATCTCAAAAGTACCCCCTGAAATTAGTGACGGAGAGAGGGAGAGAGGAAGAAAGATTTTGAATTTCCTCAAAATCTCATTTCTCATTACGGTAAATATACGAATAATGAACTATCCAGCTACAAAGCGGAAGGGCGTTCAATTGTCATGGAGAATAAAATTCTTCGGGTTGATTCGGGTCTCTCCCAGTTGTAGGCTTTAGGCACCAAGCCAGGCCCTTTCCTATGTTAACGTTGCGGTATATATATTCGTATTTTTCCTGATTTAACGAATGGTGAAAATCTCTTCCATGGCAGATTTGCCACAACGTAAAGTCTAATCAGTTCATTGACAGAGGGCTTTATTTAGTCTATCACACAGTTTGCACGATAGAAACTTACATTGAATATTGCATCGGGTTATGCTATAAAAATTAGCGCAGATCTTGATGTTCCCCTTTTTGTGGATTGGGCTGAGAATATTTAGATTCCAAGCGCCAGCCAGGCACTTATCTGACAAATTTTAAGAAAAACGAGCTTTACTAGTTCTGCGCCATCATATTCAAATTGCTCTGCAAACGATCGGGAACGAACGAAAACGACCGGCTCTCGTCGTTTTGTTTGGAGAGCAATTGTTATACGAGCTTTGCGATGTTCAAGCAGTGCAAGTTCTACTCCGTCGGGCTTAGCACAAACAGATGATTGACTATTCTACTCAAAGCATGTGCCACATGATCATCTCTTTGGGTCCTAAAAGAGTATACTCCGATTTCGGAACCTTTTTCATAGAACATCCGAGATTTACCCCTATAGGTCATTTATATTTGAATGTACGAGTATATGCGTCTCGTTTCCCTTTTCAACTCTCTTTCATCAACCACAAAAATATTAAGGCCATTGAGATGTAGGGAGTATTTTTTTCATTGTTGCTTACCACACCAACTTTTCTATTGACCTTGTCTTGCAATGCCATCCCAACTTACAATCAAAGCCTACAACGACACACAGAAAATAATTTGAAAGCAATTAAAAAAGGCTGGATACACATAGAAGAACGATGTATGGATGCCGAGTTTTCATTTGAGAAACGCAACAAAATCGTACCATTTCGGCAGCGGTTGATGAATGGTGGTGAAAAGTGGATCATTTAGAGCAATATCAAATGAAAACGGTCATGGTTGAGGGCAGTATTGACGCTCAGACAGGTATCGTTGTGTTTTGGTGGTATTGGTTAGGAATAACCAATCACTATAAGCTGCTCTCTTATGGCCAAACTCGTTAGCTTATATAAGGAGAATTATGTTTTATCAATGCATTAATGCCAGAACACATACACCGATACACACAGCGACTCCAAACGCTTGGTTGGGAGGCTCTTATGCATCCAACTTATAGTCCAGACCTCACACTAAGTGTTTACCAACTGTTACTGTCTACGGCGAGTGATTCGGCTGGTGAAGAATTGACCTCAAGAATGGTCTTTGCACACCGATTGCCCCAAATTTTTTGCCAATACAGACAAGATTTTCTACGAGAGAGGCATCACTGCACCTTCGAATTGGCAAAAAGTCATCGAGCAAAAAGATGTTTTATTTGCTACAAAACAGATAAATATAATTACGGTAAATACAGCCATCAACGTAAAGTAAAAACAAAAGATTATTTAGTACTTAGATCTCATATATAAATATTTCAAAAAAAAAAGGTCGAGCGATATATTCATATTAATGCCAAAAAATAATCGTTAAATCAGCGAAACGCATACTTTTTTTAACTCAGAAACTGTCGCCAAAAACAAAAAGAACGTAAGTGATTTATATATTTTTTCATTTGTGTGCTTATTTCATTTCCTCTTTGGCCTTTGCTGCATTCGTGATTATGTCGAACTTTCAATTTCGATGGATTTATTTGAATTTAAGTGTTGATGATAAAAAATGGCTTTTAAAGTAGGAAACGTGCACTTAAAAAACGATGATTTCGCCCTCATATGGCACCTAACTGTAATATACATATGTATGTATGTATGTATGTATGTATGTATAGAAGTTGGACTGTTTCCACATGCGAATGGTAGGTAACTCTTAAGTTAAATCGGCAAAAAAAAAAACAAAAAAAAAAGTCAAATGAAAAAATAAATAAATAAATGTTGCGACACATAAATCTGCAGATTTAACTGACACATTTATTTCTATGTGTATATTGATATGTATATGTGCATGTAAATATATTAATTTATATGTATATATATCATCAAAGCATGTGTTTGTGTGATTGTATGGGTGTCACGCTCATCCGGCGACGGAATTGTGTTGAACCAAACAATCACACGCGTCAGCAACGGTAATTGTAAAGAGTTAAACGGCGGCATATATAAATATTAACACTCGCACAAACACACACAGTTTTTCTGCATACACGTATGTATACCATGCCCCTATATTTTTTTAAATTTTCCTTTTCGTATCGTTGCATCTCACATCCGGTGTCGTCTGCACGGGTGTTATCGCTCGCCGTTTGTCACTTGTCACTCGTTCAGCTTGTTTTCATGAAAACAAAAAACAAAAAAAAAAAATCAAAATCAGGTCTTTTCACCCTCTTTGATGGATCTGTAACCGTCATTGAGCAGGTATTACCGTTATATTTCCCGTTTGCGTTTTTTTACGCACGTTGTCGGCAACCGTAACGAGAAGTTTTTCCGTTGCATTCGCAACACAGCTAAAAATTATGTTGTTTTAAAATTGAAAAAAAAAAAATCACATTAAAATGCGAAAAAGAGGATTTAAAATATTTTTAACTTAGAAGTAATTATCTACAGGGTTGCCACAGCATTCAATTCGAATTCACCTTTATAGAAAACAAATTTTTTCCATAAAATTTGCTATATTTCGATTGTTCCCCTACAGTTACCACATGCATATTTTCGATTTCAAGGAAATTAACGTAATAATTAAAGAAATTAATTTTTTCGGGAGAAATTTTAATAAAAAAAAAAAACAAATAGAAGAAAGTTAATTTTTCTTATTGTGGTCGTGCTTAGGTAGGGCATGTCATGGCCTCCGAGTGTACTTTTGTTGAGAAATAAAAGCTGCAGAAAAAATTCTATGCTCTGTTCGGTGGCGGTGTAGAGGAAAACGCAGGTCCCTCTCTCTTGTTGAAAGAAACATAGGGACGCTCACCGCAAATTGGACAAGCAGCTCTGCTGAAAATCAAAATCAGACACGTAAATGCAAATATGAAGAGGCTTTTGGAAGTGATTGGGCTCATTGAGATCGTAATGTGTTCAGTGATTCAAAATAAGTATAAATCTGAGAATTTATGTTTTCTGGACACTTGGTCTTTGAGCTGTCGTCAACCAAGCAAACTAATCAGAATTGAAAAGTTAAATATGAAAAAATAATAAGGGCCTTGATTGAAGGTCTTTTGGGTAATGGAAGAAGCGCTCGCTTAAGTGCATTCATGGGGATGAATAAATAAATATTTTATTCAAGAAATGCAAATGAGCTATAGCAAGGACTGTTTAGCATGTATTATGAGTGGAACCAACAACAACAAACTGTTTGTGTGAGCAATTGTTTGTCCCTTTCACTAAACGCGCATTCAAATCCGAATTAACTTTATCTGCTTGCCGCTTTCCTTCTAGTCTTGTTTTGTATCTTGAAAAGCGCTGTAATGAAATTATCTCTCCTTTTGGGAAAAAAATGTTCAAAGCGCCATCATCATCATGCATCAATCGTCTTAAACTGCCTTTTCGAATTTACACTACAACTCGGGAGTATTTTCAGACGAGGCTTTGCAAAATTTGGCACGAAAGGAGACTGATTAACAGACAGCGAAAATAATGTAAGTTTGCTTTGTTCAATTAACGTCTTATTCAAGAAAAATATTGGAAAATACCGCTGAGAAAAGCGGAAAAACAATGTTTTTCATTTCTAAAATTTATAGTCAAATCAGTAGAGTTTTTGGATATAGTGCTTGGGTGAAGTTTGGATATTTTTGAAAGAGTTGCCACCTGTCGTTTTGTTTGTTAGTCGGTTTTTTGTTTAGATTAACAAAGGAAATACTATCTTTCGGCTGAGATTGCCACAAATCGACGTACATGGGATGATGATGGCATGCTGTGGTTGGTGTGGCTGAAGGTTGTTTCGAAATGGACCATATTTTTTCATCCACAGTAGTGGCAAGTAAATCTTATACGTGTAAAATTATTTAACGTAAGCGTAGATCAAAGTAGTGCTGTATGATTTTCGTCGAGGTATTCATCTTTTCTTTTGAACAAAAGACTTTGAGTAGCGAAAAGCACCCGTTGAACCGTAATTAGGAACTTTTTTTTAATGAATGTCCTTTTCAGTTGACAGTTTTCAATAACTTTGCGATCCTTTGTGTAACTTAATCCGTAGTAAATCTTTTTTTAAATGGACTTAAAGCAGTTTTCTATATTATGCAAAGACATATGCAGCTTAAGACTTGGACTAAAAAGCAGGATTTTACATTCCACCCAAACTTTATTACTTTTTCAATAATCTTTTAGGAGAATACTTTTTAGAATTCCACCCGTTTGTAGTAATCATCATGTGGGTAAACTAACATGCTGCCCTCCTCAGGCCAACAATGCAATCAATAGCATTTTGCTGCCACATGCCATTCTTTGATTGCAACGCTCCCCTACGTAAGCGTCCAGCACGCGCATCTCTAACACCTGTTGCTACGAAGAATTTGATTAATCTGCTCTAGTTTGTTAAGCTTCATACGACGACCGTTATAAGCGAGTAGTAAGCAGTGCGTGGATTATGGGTTCGAATACTGGTACAAGCAACATCCGAATATATTTCAAAATTAATAAAAATGAAATGGATTTTTCACCTCCGCGTGATTTCTCGACATCATAGAAAAGGCGAAAGACCTTCGAAGGCATTTTAAGAATTGGTTCCCTCTATTCATAAGAAAAACATACAATATTAAGAGACAAGAGAAATAAATCTCTCCAAATAGAAATATTGTGCGTTTTCATTTTTATTATTATTATTTTTTTTTTTGTGAAATTCAAAAAAGTTTCTTCAGCTCCCTCAAAAGACTATCAACCAGGTTAGACCACTCGGTAGGCATTGAACACTTCTTCCACGTTCTCTATAGGATTTAAATGCGGAGAGTAGGCCGACCAACGCTTGAATGTAGTCTCTGCTATTTATTAGAGTTCACTAGTGTGCAGACTTTTTTGTCTGCACAAGCCCTTAGTACATTTTATTAAGAGCATAATTTCTTTTGAATATTAATTTCTCAGCGACTGCACCCTAATAACGATACTCTCCCAACTGTCATGATATGTTTTTTTTTGTTAAAAATAAATTTTACAGTTGGGGGAGAATATCCACTACGACCGAATGTGATTGAAGGAAATCGGTAGTTACGAGCAACTGTTGTTGGCTTTTGCATTTGCTTGCACATTGACAATTTTGAGTGTTGACTATTTCATATATTCATATCATTTTATAAAGGGTGTTTTTTTTTCTTTTCGTTATGAATAGACGTCCAATATTCTATCGCCATAAATGCCAGGCGGAGATGGTGATTCGTACAATGTGAATGGGTTTCGCAACACTTGTTGATTTGGTTTGACTGAAATCATTCTTAAAATATATTGGCAACTCTTTTCTTTATAAAAAAGCTAAATTATTGGCCCTAACAGAAAATTATATGCGTTTCGTTTCTACACCCTTTATTAGGATTTTTTTTTTTTAACTTTTATTATTATTTTTATGACAAGAATTTAGTTTAGGGTGAAATAGCAATCACAGCGGATATCACCCTACCAAGGTAAAGTCTAATAATGAATGTAGTGCAAGACACGCAGTAAACTAAAATATATTTTTAGTAACAAATTCTGAATAAAATAAATTGGTTCAATAAGTTTATCAGTAAAAAATTTTTTTTTTTTGAATTCTTGATACCGATCTGCATAAATTATATTAAATTTAATTATTAAGATTTTTATTTTCCAGCTTGGGACAGTTGTTTGCACCTTGGAGAAGTAAAGTTTGCTGAAATTCGGGGAAATGATTGTGGATTTTTTAAAGAACGCCACGCTGATTTGGCTATCGGTAAATATAATTTTGTTAACAATTTGTTTTGAAAAAAAAAAAAAAATGTTTAACTGTCTATATATTATTTCAGCATTGATGGATGGTTCTCGCATGGATGGCAGAACAATTAAAGTTACATATTTTTAAATAAAATAACTTGATTTTAGCTCATAGATTTCATTATTCCTTACATAAATTTTATGTTTTTTTTTTTATTTCTGTACGACTTCGCTTGTATTATTTATATAACTTAAAAAATAAGCAAATTCACACCATACTCAATTTGAGAAACTATCAGATAAATGCAAAAGCAAAAGCAACTGAACCGCAGAAACATGCAGTTAGCCATAACTAAGCGTACTTCCATAGTCGTTTCAACTGAAAACATTTCGAAAATATTTTCCTTTATGACCAAATAAATATACACTAAAATAACGGTTATTTTTAATGTTATCATCGAGGAGAATTGTATAGTAGACAAATAATTTATGGGAAACCTTTTTTTTAACGTAATTAGAAGTCAAAGATATTAATTAAAAACATTAAAATCATTCGGTTCAATACTCGGGTGGTGGAAAATAGATTCGAAACATGTTTTGTCAAAGTGGATTCTGACGTTCAGAACTTAAGATCTCGTATATGAATACAGCATACGTTACTGCATTTATCAGTTATCAAATCTTCCCATCTGTAATTTTTCCCACGTATTAAAAGCCATTTTCGATTAACCCAAAAAAAGCACAATAAGATTTGCTTTTATTGTATATACGTACACATATGCAGTATGTAATGTGGGGCAATAACGCGGCTCACTTGTATGTTGTGCTGTCGTTTATGCAGCAACTACCCATCTAACATATCTTCCGTCCATAGCAACTTATCTTATGAGAGCGCCATGTAAACACAAAGTTGTCACCGCTTGCTTATGCCGTTAGTGACGCTTGTCCCGCAGGAAAAGAAATGAGAACTAAATTCCGAACAAATTATGTGTTACCATATAAATCATGAATATTTGATTTGCGTTTATATTCGAACCCATAAATTATGAAATTTATTGACGAAAATTCTATATTTGTTCAGAAGTGTGCAAACACGTTGGCAGCTGGCGAAATTTTCTCCGCTCTCAGTAGCGTCGATAACTCGTGTGTGTATCTCGCTCTTCCAGTCGGCTGTTATGGGCGGATGGTACGGAAAATGGGTAATTGCAGCATTGCTGACCGTCTTTATGAATTTAAAAAAGGTTTACACTGCGGTTTTATTCTTCAATTTTGTTAATATTGAATATTTTATTTTTTAGTTAATAAGAAAAAAATACTCTTAAAACGATACATTTTATTTCAAACAAATTTTGTATGATCAATTGAGTAAGTGTTTGTGCTTAAATACGCTGATAGTAATTGAATGTTAGAGGTAAAAATTTAACTAGAATACCCTTCGTGGGAGTAGTACAAATATATTTTCTTCTTCTTTACTTCTTTTTTGGTTGATGGTACAAATAATTACTTTATATTATGGCCGGGCTTACTTGCCGGCAACAGTAGCTTGAGGGGCAGACTCTTTGCTTAACTCATTATTTTCTGTGCTGCTGCTCGCTGAAGTAATTACCTTTTTCTCGGCTGCTAATGACGTTTGTGTACTTTTAAAGCGCTCCAATCGAGCACGTGCCTTTTCTGCCCACACATAATTTGTGTTTGCCGTTCCCGGCGTTGCACTAGCGGTTATGGCAGCTCCATTCCGCGCACCAAATCGTTCTTTTCGTTTCAGTAACTTTTCTGCAGCATCGATTTTGGCCATTTTTGAAGATAGAACACAACCGAAGCGTTCTGCGCGTTTTTTAAGCAGCTCAATTTGTTTGGCGTCATTAACAATGGGCTCAATTATGAGCTTTTTATTACGCGCCGGTTTGGTGGTCGGAGTAGTTGTTTTTTTGGTTGAATTTGAGTCAATTCCAAACTTCTTCGCACGAAGCTCTAACCGTTCCGTTTGAGTTAAGGTAGCCACCTCTTTACCGCTGGCAGCGCCACTGGAGTCTGTGCTATTTGCTTTTGTGTTTGATACCTTCTTAATGGTGATATCACTTACGGTAATTGGATTTCGCTCGCTCATTTTAAGTATTTTTTCTTTCGGCGGCTCGATATTCTCTTTTGTTGTGGTAGCTGATGCAAAATCTTCTGTGGAAGTCTTATTTTCGTCATCAAGTTTACGCTTCAATATAATTTTTTTAGCGTTAGCTGATATTTTTGAAGCGTCTAAAGCAATCGAAGTTGATTCGGGAGCCTTCGGCGTACGGATTGGGCTTTTTAGCAGTTCATTCTCATCTGCAGCAATAGGAGATTCTGCTTCGTCGGCAAGTACAGCGTCTTCGTCTAAGAGTGCATCTTCGTTGCTAATAGCCGAATCTTCCAAGGAAATATCGCCATCGTGAAGTTCCGTTTTATTGCCCGTAGTAGCGAGCCAACGCAATTTTAGCTCACGCGTCAAGTCAGCCTCCGTCATTTTGGTTACATCCGATTCAGGCATTTTTTTATGGAGTATTTTTAACTTTTTGTGAATTTAATTCTGTGCACGAAATATTTTTATTGTTTTTTTTTCGGACGCTCACACACAGCACAGCGACGTTTCGACGTTGTTCCTGGGGTACGTTCAGTGAAGGATTTATTTACTGTTCTCGATTAATTGTAACAAGAGAGAACGTATATTACGCAGATAACGTATATTTATTATTTTACGTTCACTGTTCTTACGATTTTATTTTATTTTTTTAAATTTATGTTTTATGTTTCTTAGTAAAAAAATTTAACTTATCTATTTATCGTTTGTGTCTTGCACAAGTTATGATTTACAACTGAAGATTTTTTAAAAAATATATCCCTTTTATACCTTCTAAATCTTCAAAATGTCACTTTAAGGCACACCAGCGTTAATGTGTTGCTAACCCTTTTTAGTATTTTAAATATTACAAGAAACTCGACATTTTTTGCCTGAATTGAGATATCTCTACCTGCTTTACTAGTACAGGCGATAGTTCTTGGAACGCGTGACTAATTGATGTTTGTGTTGCAGTCCTTTTTTCTCAGAAACACATTAAAATATTTGAAAAGAATTGGCCTGGCCTGCATGAAACTATGTAACCATGTACTTACGCAAAAAGGGTACAATTTTAATGAGATCTTAAATTACTTTTGGGCAACTCAAATTTGGGTAGCAACCAGCCATTTCGCTCTACTACTTTTCTTCGGCTTGATAAATAATAACAATAATTTGGGAATTCCAGCATTGCTTTGCAAAGACCGCCGTCTTTCTGGAATGTGATAGTCCGCGAATTAGCTACGGCGGCTACCGCAAAAGATAAAACAATGACCTGCTCATCGAACTAAGATATTTTGCTATCACTTGCTAGAAAACCATTCTGCCCAGATTGACGCAAAAAATCGAAAAAGATTCTAGATCATTTTTTTACGGCCCAGATTGACGCAAGCATTCGAAAAAGATTCTAGATCATTTTTTTACGGCCCAGATTGACGTAAGCAATCGCAAAAGATTCTAGATCATTTTTTTACTGAACCGGGTTCTGTGTTCGAGGGAAAATGTTTGTGAGTATTAACCAGCAACGGAATGTCAATATTATTCTCTCTCTCTCTCTCCATCTCTCTCTCTCTCTCCATCTCTCTCTATCTCTCTCTCTCTCTCTCTCCATCTCTCTCTCTCTCTCTCTCTCTCTCTCTCCATCTCTCTCTCTCTCTCTCTCTCTCTCTATCTCTCTCTCTATCTCTCTCTCTCTCTATCTCTCTCTCTATCTATCTCTATCTCTCTCTCTATCTATCTCTCTCTCTATCTATCTCTCTCTCTCTCTATCTCTCTCTCTCTATCTATCTCTCTCTCTATCTATCTCTCTCTCTCTCTATCTCTCTCTCTCCCTCTGGTTTTTTGCCTCACCGTACTCGGATCAGCTGGAATTAGAGCCGTTGTTACTACCCTTCAGGTCAACAAACGTTCTTTGCAGATTAAGAAATAAATAAAGATCAATAATTGACATCAAATCTTTTGGCATAGTTGGTAGTGTGAAGGGAAATTTAGCATGAAGTCGAGAAACTTACGCTATATTGTCAAATATTAGGTGTAGTGAAAAGAAATCCACTATTTTTCCAAGAGTTGGCGTTGTTTATCTGTATCGCACGTTGTACAAGTCCGGTCGGGTTCCACTAGTTGACGTTAGGAAGCTGACATTTCGTGGTAATAATTCTTGTCTGACAATTTGGCTTGTGTTAGCGTCAAAGGTGTATACTAACGAAGAGAAAATACGGAAAATTTTAGAGTTTTTCTTCGATTAGGGTGAAAACGCACGCCAGGCGGCTGAAAATGTGAATAGCGTATTTAGGGTCCCGATACTGTTACGGACACTCATGCACAATTTCAGTTTCATTCCGCTAATTTATAGGGCTATCCATTTTGTGGTTTCAAAAGTGTGGGGCTGTATTTTGACACCTGTTTTAATTAAAATTGAGGCATTCATAAAGATTAATCGCTTAACAACCGCACTACGAAAATGTGATTCAGACATGAGCCTCTTTCGTCCATATAAAGACGAGCTTACATAACAATTGAAGCCAGCTGGCCATTCTCAATGCCGTAGATACGTCGATTGGCTGCCTGAACAACAAGTTCGTCGATGTTTCGAAAAAAAAAAAAATACTTTTCAACGACGAGACGAATTTATCACTCCTACCTAAATAAGCAATTGAAGCTCCGAAAAAAAACTTAACTGTCTGGAACGGTCTGTGATGCGAAGGTGTGATGGAGCATATTTCTCTCAAAGCGATAATGGAAAAATTGTCACCGTCAATTCGTATCGTTATTGACTTTTTTGGTTTGCAACTGAAGAACACGCCTTGGACAATATGTTGTTTCAACAGGATGGTGCCTTATATTCCTTGAGCACCGTAAAAACAAGATTTTTCAAGTTTCGGTTGAGGTACCTCCCAATATGTACCAAAAATTGGTCGATAATTAACTCAGCTTTCGCGAGGTGATCATTTTTTGGATGACTTTTTAAAAAAAAAATTTCATGAAAAAAAATCAAAAGCATCTTATTTACATTTATTTTAAAAATCGCAAAATGAATAACCCTATTTTCTGTTAGTTCTCGAAATTATCACCACACATATATTATTTGCTTCCTGTGTGTTTCCTATTTGCGTATTCTCCGTTTACATTATATAAATTTTATGATTTACTTTCACTTCCTATTTTAATAAAGCCTTAAAAGGAAACACACACACACACACACCCCAGATGCGCCCGCACCTACATACACACAAACACTTGAGAGTTCATAAAGCACTTTTGATGGAATTTCACCTTATTTATAAGTTTGCCCTTAAAAGAGGGTTAAGTAAGTAGGTGAACAACAACAACAACAACAACAACAACAACAACAACAACTAAATAAGAAGAAGAAGACAAATATGGAACAGGAAAAAAATTTAAACAAATTGTTGATGTAAGGGAATTGATAACGTCAGAAGCAAACATTCTAAAGTTGGAAGTCAGACAGTCAAGTAAGCAAGTCGCAAGCGAGTTTGCGCTTTAGCCTTCAGTGGAGCCGTCAAGCAGTCAAAAAGTAATGTCAGAGAGATGACTTGTCATTTTACAAAGAAAATGTGGAACAAGAAAATATTTGAAAGCATAATAATTTGCATGCATATACATATGTGTATGTTTTGACGAACATATCTACATACATACACACGTCCACGCATAACTTACAGCAGGTACATCGCCATGTACTTAAAGGCAAAAGAGGCTGCGAAGAAAACGCTGAAAGGCTTTGTAACAGAAAGTGAATGTGGCAAGACTGAAACGAAACGAATGTGTTGAGGTTAGGGGCTTGTGGTGGCACACAAATTCAAACTCAGTTGACGAATTTTCCTTTTTATTTGGCTTGATAACTCCAGAGAATTTTCGGCATAAAATAATGACTTGTACAATAATTCTCTCTTTTGTGTGGGTGTGTAAAGCGTTTGCTCTTTACAAATTGTATGTATTTATTTATACATATACATATATGAAATCTAATTTATTTATTTAAATAAGTAGTATGTATGCAGCTGCAAGAAATGCTTAGAAAAATTTAAGATGATTTTTTGGAATTTCACACGAGAAAACATTTCTGGGCTTATGGCATGTGTGCAAGCGTCTAAAAGTATGTGGATCAAATTAAATTATAAGCATTCAGAATATAATAACCGAGAAATAAGTGAAATAGCAATGAAAAAATAATATTAAACTCAAGTGACTTGCAAAAAGTACTTTCACAAAACTAGAAGTGTTCGCTTTCAATTTTCCTTTGTTGGGAATTTCGAAATTATATAAATTTACAATTATATTTAGCACTTTTAATTATAGAAAAGTATTCCATGATTTCTGATAAAACAAAAATTACAAAAATGAGAGAAATAAAAAAGTTTTAATTTCGGCTTTAATCTTGTATACTTGTTGGATATTTTTAGACGGCGCTGCCACATGTTTGAGAACTTCAAAAAGAGTTGCCAATGCGAGTATCATGAAAGTGTAGAGTTAGCTCACCGAGGGTGCCATACAGAAGATATTTCCATTAGCCTTGTTAGATGCCCGAAAGTTCTCTATGAGCTTCGTATGGAAGGATACTATTGTAGCTTGAGAAAGCAATTTCAATATTATCATATATCTAAGCTTAATGGTATGGAGCTATGTAAAAAAAACGCAAGGCCTTTTACACAAAATCACGATGTCACCGTAGCTTAATGATCTCTCTAAAATATAAGGTAAGACGACAAATTAAATCTCCAGATGCCTAATGACACATCTAGCTCGTTATGAAGTTTAAATCACGGCAATAATTTTCTCAAATTAGCAACATAAAAGGCAGGGCTATTTCTGCAAATAATGAAGCATATCCCGACTACATTCAACAAACTGAGGACGTGCAAGGTCATAAACTATTCATGCGTTAAACTGGATCCAAGGTTAACCTACTGGGAACAAATGAAACGCGCTGCAAAAAATGTTCTAAAATAAAAACTCCACTCAGCAGGCTGATGACCAATTTGGGAGAAACTTACTAAGATAAAAGAAGACTAGGTGACAAGGAGTATACTCCTCATAGGCGCCGAATTATGGGCGAACAATACTCATAATAATAATAATAATAATAATAATAATAATAATAATAATAATAATAATAATAATAATAATAATAATAATAATAATAATAATAATAATAATGATTTTCATTGTAAGATAGACCAAAAAATCTTACACTAAAAATATTTTTTAATAATAACAGCATAAATAAAGCAAGTCAAAAGATTTATATTTATATTTTTATTATATTTTAATTTAATCTGTTTTGCTTTACTTTGTTTTATATTATTTTCAATTAAATATTTTAAGATTTATTTAATAATATTTCTCAATTTTGAATAATTTATCAGACCTAATAAAAGAGAAAACATAAATAAATAATAAAGAAATTAAAATCTGCGCAGTCAGTGCTCAGGCATCTCTGCAGGTTAAATATGGATGTGAAAAATGCTTATAATACAAAAAAAAAGATTATTGCTAAAAGAATCGCTGGAAAGGTGGAGAGGAAACTACAGTCTAAATCATATTAGGTGGCCATTAGGAATTCGTAATCACATTGGCCATAAAACGATATCAGCCTCAAGGCTCAGCGCCCGCTGCTGATTTCATGTACAATTTTCTAAATGGCGAAGAAATCAGCCTCACCTCTGCACCGTTATCTTGTGCACTTTCCCCATGTCTCATAATACTCAAATGCAAATTTAATGCAGCAAATCTTTTCTGTTCGACGCCTGAGAATCTTTGGTGAAATAAAGTTTAGAAAAAAATGAAATAAAATAAAATAGAAACGAAAAAATATCATTCATCCACAGACAATGAGGCGCTGCCACGCTACGAGAATCTGAATTCAATGCGTCTGCTTTTCGCACAACTCAACAATCAATTTTATTGTTATTCCTCGGTGCGGATTGCTATCTAATCGGACACGGCTGAAGACAGACAGATATGCTGGCGCTGAGATTGGGCGGTAGCCTCACTCTGATCGGCGGCTGGGGCTTTTGCGCTGGAGCTTGAAAGGAGCCAGGCGCTTTTTCAACGGAAAATAATGGATTTTCGCGCTGTCGGTGT